TGATAATTAATAGACAAATTATTAAATTAAACCTTTTTAACACAGCTTTTTCAAGCATTATACTAATTTTTGGTAGCATTCCTAAGGGGTCGATTATGGAGCTAGACAATTTATTAAAGCTATTAAAAGCTTAAGTCTCTTTTGTTATAATTATTATTTTACATTTTCTTTTAGTTAAATTACAAAATACACGCACTTGACCCTTCGAGTCAACTGATAACCTGTCAGTTTAAGATGCATTTTCCTTCCTCATGAGCGAGTTTCAAACCTGCCCCTTGACAACTTGTTAAAAAAAAAAAATACAAAATACACACTAAGAAAGTAAAGAAAGAGATAAGATAGTAATCACAATATATATTATAAAAAAAAACATAAAACATAAAACTTTTCGTGGCCTTATCACATTGTTTGGTGGCAATAATCAAACCCCAATCGTAACCTTGTCCCAATCGTGCTCGTACAGTGGTACTAAAGTATCAATTTCAAGTGGCCCAAATAAAACACATCATAATTATCATACCTTAACATGCCATGTTCAGTTTAGCGCAAAACGCCTGCCTGCCATGACCTTGGTTTGTTTTTTGTTCAGGGCATCATAAAAAGAATCAGGAGAAGTCGCAACAAAAAATGTCTCGACTTGATTGATCAAGATAATAATTTACATAAAATTAAGAGATTAGGATAAATAAAAAGTATTAAAAAATAATATAAAAATATATAATAATTATATTTTTAATTTGTATTCTAAATATAAAATAAAAAGTCTTTATAATCAATTACATTGCTAAATAATAAACTGGGTTGCCTTATTTTAGATGTTGAAAATTTTAATTTTCTAAACCAAATTAAGTAATTATTTTTTAATAATTTTTTTGACAATATGTTTAGGTAAAAAAGAATAAAAATATGAGAAAAAAAGAAATTTTTTTATTTAATTATTAAAAAAATTAAAAAATTATTTGTTTTATCTTTTAATTAATTTATTTATTCAAATAAAAAAATATATTCTTTTATTTTTCTCAATCCAACTGTGTTCATTTTTTTTTTAAATAAAACACATACCAATTTATTTTCATTATGACTTAATAACTATAATTTTTTTTGAAAAAAGTGGTAATACTAAAAATTTTAAAATTTAAATCTTAATAATTTATATTTTTTAAAATAAATTATAAAGTAAGAGTGAGAGAATCAGAGCCAATCTAAGGAATTAAAAGGTACACCCACAAAAGCATTCCCCATGCGGCTACACTTCTCCAAAAGTGAGAGGTAGCAAAAACGCACTTTAATTCATAAGTGGAGTTTAAATTTGATTTTTTTTAATATGTATTAATTTAATATTATATTTTTTCTTGTAAAAAAAAAAGGTACACCTATAAAAAATAGTAAAGCCATTAGGCTAAGAAGGGCCAGCTGCTAATAATTCTCAATTTCAGTTTTTTGGTAAAAATAATAATTCCCAATTTTAGTCTCCGCAATTGGTTGAAAAAAAACTAAGAGCATGTTTGGATGAGCTCCTAAAAGTTTCAAATTTTGGATATTATTTATATTTCATATATTTAAATTTTTTTTTAAAAAATTTATATTTTTAAATATTTTTTTAAATTTAAAAAGCTTTTAAAGATTAAAAGTTTAAAAGTTTTAAATTTAAACTTTTCATAAACTCCTTTTTTACTTATTTTTCACTTACTTTTTTACCTTTTTAAAAGCTAAAACTCTATTTTTTCTTTAATAAAAATTTAAATTTATTACTTATAACAGTATTCAAAAAACAAAAACTACCACAAATTACACTAAACAGACTCTAAGGCAGATACCAAAGGCTCCCTGGTCCCTAAGGTGACACACTCCCGCACTGTCACGCACCTGTCAAGTCTGAATAAAAAAACTTAGCCAAGTGACTCAATTGAGAAAAACTAAAAAAGAGTGACATGATGAAAATATTGCTTTTATTTTTTTCCATTTTGTCATTTTAAGGAAGAGAACAGGTGCAAGAGAACCCGCCACCATGAGCCGGAGCTGACTTGGCGTGTGTCTGGGAGTGAACGGCTGTTCCTCAAGGATCTGACTTTCGCTCCATTGTGAGTGAACTGGCAATCAGAATGGCCAATGATACCCAGTTATGGAGGCGACTCCTTTTCTTACAAATTACGAAGGCCTGTTGGTTGAGGTTGTAGTAAAATGTTGTTATCCCCAATTAAAAACATCCCCAGTTTTATCTCCCTTGAAGATTTTCTTTTCTTCATTTCACCATCATCCCCACCTTCTTTATTTGTAGCAAAATCTGTTACGTTTTTTCATTTCAACTCAAAGTCAATTTTGGGATAATCTTTTGATCCTCTCCTTTTCCTATTTAACTTCCCTTCTAGAACTACACATTTTCACCTTTCTCACCTTTTTTTTTTCTTTTCTTTTCTTTTGGTGCAATTGGTCAATTCTTCTTCAGGAAGGCTTCATCCAGTTCTTCTAAGAAAGGGAGAAAAAAAATTATGTAGATATTCCATCTGGGTATTCAGAAAGTTTGACTCTTAAAGGTGTGTCTAGAATTGGGTGTTGTAAAATTTTTGTCTTTTCAGATGATTTGCCACTGGATGTTGGGGATTCTGATTGTTCCGTGAATAGCTGGAAGAGGGTATCTTTGATTTTGATTCTTCAAGGAAAAATTGTAAGTGGTATTTGGAGTTTTTTTTTTTTGTACTAAAGGAGATTTTTGACGTCATCGAAGGGGATTCTTGACGTTGAAATGAAGTTTGTAGGTAGGTTTTAGAGATATATCTTTGAAGGGAATTTTGGATTTCTTGTTTTCATTTGGTTGTGGATTGTATAATTCCTTCTCAAGATAGGATTTTATCAAGAAATTTATTAATTTTCTTGTTTATGTTTGGTGAGTTTCCTCAAAATTAGCGAATTCTTTAACAAATCTAGGAAACAGTCACATCCGGATTACCTTCCACCTAATTGGTGGTTGCATAGAGGGGTTTCTGTCATGACTTGCTAAAATTAAAGGAGTCAATCCGTTTGAGGAAGTGAGATATTGACCAATTACAACTGTTTATCTGAAATTCATTTTAGAAACCTCTTTACTGGTCATTGCTAATTAGATGTGTAGGGTGTAGCATTTCAGAAAAAAACAAGGATTGCTTTTTTCCTGTATATAGGCGTGTCAATTATCTGTATACAATTCTTTGGGATGTCTTAGGATCAACGTCCTCTTGTAAGACCATCAAAGGGGGTTCTTGATCTTTAAAACAAGCTTGTTTTCATAAACTTCTTTCGTGGGAGCAGTTGCTTCTGAATATCATGAGATTTCTAAGCCTTGTGGGGAATTCTTTTGGATGTTCTGCTTCTGGGGAACGCTTAGTTTCTGCTGCAAGAGATGGGGATCTTCAAGAAGCCAAGGCTTTGTTGGAATACAATCCAAGGCTTGCAAGGTATTCCACTTTCGGGGTTCGCAATTCACCACTACATTACTCTGCAGCTCAGGGGCACCATGAGGTATTGGCAACTCGATCTTTGCCATCAAATGTTTTCTGGAAAGACTGATCTCATATCCTGAATTTCAGGTTTTGCAAATTAATCATGATAATGCTTGTAATATTTTACATGTTTAAAACAGATAGTCCTGCTCTTGCTCCAGTCTGGGGTTGATATTAATCTCCGGAATTATCGTGGTCAGGTAATGCATTTTTGTTATCTTCTTTTTAAAATTTATGTTATTTCTCATCTATTGTTGACTATGGTTTAAATTTCTCAATAGCGTACAACACCACACTGGTGATCATTCATGCTGCCTTCAGTTTCTTGTATACTTGTTGGAATTATATTGCGTAATTAGTTATCACCTGTATTAATGGCTATTTTTTTAACCATGCTGAACAGACTGCTTTGATGCAAGCCTGTCAACATGGCCACTGGGAAGTTGTTCAGACTCTGATTCTTTTTGGAGCCCATGTAAGATATTTACTTGTTCATCTAGGTAACATGATTAAGTATTGATAGTCTCTGAGATTGGGAGGAATATGATTTTGACAAGTTCATTGTGTGCAACTGGTCTTTAGATCCACAAAGCAGATTATTTGAATGGGGGTACTGCACTTCACTTGGCTGCTTTGAATGGTCATTCACGGTGCATAAGGCTTCTCCTTGTAGATTATATTCCCAGCATCCCTGATTGCTGGAACTTGTTAAAAAAAAAATCAAGGAACAGAGGATCTACCTCAGAATTTGATGAAGGGTAAATAACCATCTATATATTTGTATGTATATTCAATTTGCTCTTTTAATTAATTTCTTTTTCCATTTTGATTATTAAAGTGCTCTTCGTGAGGTAATCAATAGACCAGCTGATGGAGGGATCACTGCTCTTCATATGGCAGCCTTGAATGGGCATGTTGAAAGTGTTCAGTTGCTGCTGGACTTGGGAGCGTCAGTTAATGAGGTCACTGTGGAAGATGGAACCACAATTGATCTAATTGGTAATTTACCTTTTTCTCTCGCCATATTGATTGTTGTCATTGTTCATTACAATGGCTAGCCAACATGCAGCTAAATTCCAAACTTAGCAGTAAAATACATTTTTAACTTGCAGTTACATCGTGTGATGCTCTTTCTTCATTCCTCCCAGAATTCTCTCCAGTACCCTTCCTCCTCTTGTTCTTCCCTCCTTCAGTTTTTCTTTCTGAATAACTAAGGCTCTAACATGAGTGGATCTCCAGACTAATGATTGACTTCCTGAATATAGTCTTTTCCTCAGAACCTTATCTACACATTCCTGTTTCTCCCTCCTTTTTCTAACTTATCCTATAGAGGTTATAGCTTATGAACAGCGTGAGTATTTTGATGTTCATGTCTGGTTCATTTCTTATGTCTTCAGCTAGTATTTAGGAGAATCTGGTCCCAGATCCAGTCTATCACCTATTTACACCAGAACTGCAACTTGAATGAAGACCCTAGTGTTTCATGATAGTTAGTTAACTCTTCTCTTCACTACCTTTTCTTTCTTCCTAATTAACATCTTCTTCTTGTAACTTTACAGGTGCCGGAAGCACTGCTCTCCATTATGCTGCTTGTGGTGGTAATGCACAATGTTGCCAGGTACGACACTAGTTTACACATGCAACTAAAACAAAATAGGAAAGAAAACTGAATTCTATTCCGCTCATGCTGAAGATTCACTTGCCTTTTCTTTTTGAATTATGATATGGTGCATCAGATTTTGATTGCCAGAGGTGCCAGGGTGACTGCTGAAAATGCAAATGGGTACATTTCTGTTACTTAGCCATGATTCAGTTGGTATTTTTCTCTCTGCACCATGATCCGAAGTTAGCATTGTTGTTGGAAATGCATACATTTTTTTTCCTGTTTGGGATTCTAAAAATTGGAATTCTTGCTTCTGCAAAATGCAAATAATAGTGGCTAATAGAGGAAGCTGTTAGGTTTGTAATCTTTTTCAATGCTCCTAGCAGGTTAAGAAATGCAGTAGGTTCAATGGTCTTCAGAAGGTTGATTATGGGTTTACAAACTTTTGTTCTGTACATGCTCTCTACCTACCATCTTTGTTCAAGATGCACGATCTCTGTTTCCTCATGTTGATCTTGATTATACCCAATGGTTGTATGTGTCACAACTTTGATGCTTCATTTTAATTTATTCTTACAATATTCGATCGGTAATGGAATCATGGATCCTCTCCCATGCTTGCTTCCAACATAATTATTCATTCCAAATATGAAAGATTTTGACAACCAGATTTAATATGATTCTTTGCTGCTTCATGAAGATAATCTTTTAAGTTTTTGGTAATTAATTTTTCTGAAACTATGTTGATCAAATTCCCTGTCAGAAAGAAAATAATTTATAGACTGATTCCTATTCTTTTAATTAATCAAAGGTGGACTCCATTGATGGTTGCTCAGTCATGGTGTAAAAATTGTCTTGAGGAGATTCTTAGCACTCAGCCTGAAGAACAGTTACAAGTCCGGCCTTCACCTTATTTATCTCTTCCTCTTATGAGCATCACGAAAATTGCTAGGTGAGTTAAATCTGCATTAATCTGCTGCTGCTTTTTATTTCTTAATCAACCTACAAACCTTTTTGCAAACCCCATGAGTTTTCATGCATGAGGGATTATTCAATGTGAAACAAACTGAGCCCTTTTCTCCTTCCTTGGTCACTTGCAGAGAATGTGGATGGATGAATGCTAATTCCTGGCCTTCTTGCCAAGATCCATGCGTTGTATGCCTGGAAAGGAAGTGCATGGTGGCTGCAGAAGGTACTGTTATTTTCCTTTGAGAGTAGCAAATAATTGCTGGAGTTCATTTCTGTTTAGGTGGTTAGAATTAATGGAGGCAAAGCGCATGGATGTATAGAATATGATAAGCGCTAAGTTATACATCTTTATCATTGTAACTGAATTCATTGTTATATAGTCTTTCATTATTATGTGGATAATAAATCTGTTAATCGTGAATAGAATGATTCAATGATGCAGGTTGTGGTCACGAATTTTGCATCCAATGCGCCTTATACCTCTGTTCCACAAACAGCGCATCGACTGTTGCTAAAGGTCCCCCTGGCTCAATTGCCTGTCCCCTATGTCGACATGGAATAGTATCATTTGTCAAGCTCCCCGGAACAGAACCAAGAGTTAAGGTGGTCTCACGGACAAGTTTGTCTCTACATTTCTGCACTTGTTCAAGTGAGGGATCATATCCCACTGTAACAACCCCACTTTGCAAGCCTGGCATCCATTGCAGCCGAATTTCTCCTCTTGGATCTTCTCTCCGCAGCCTAAGCGGTTGCCAGACTCTCCCATCTATAAAGATCAACTCCAGCCTTTGCATGGGAGCTCCAGATAGTAGCCCTGTAGTTCCTGGCATTGTTGACAGGAATATGCATAACCACTTGGTTAGGTTCTCATCAAGGTCAGTATTAAGACGTTCTACTTCCAGCACTGAGGGCCGGAAATCATGGTTCTCAGCACTCAATCAATGTGTAACTACAGGAAGTGGATGATGAAACTTTGGTGCCATTTTCCTTAGTATTTCCCCTTTTGATGGTTAGATTTTGCACCACCCGGCCCCCCACCCCCCACCCCCCACCCCCCAATCCTCGTAAGGTGAAAATTGTTTGTATGTACATGCCATATATTCTTTCTACCAGCTATGGAATATGCCTTGCTTATGGAATCCTGATTTTTCCTTGAAAATGATCATATGGGAAAATAAACAATGTTCATGCATTCAGAAATGATCTTTGTTTCTTACAGTGTGAAAATGATTGTACCAAATTATCAATTTAATGTCTTTGAGGGGGTGAGGACTATAATTAGAGTATGGTACAGTAATTATAATCATGTGCAGCTTGGAAAAAGGAAGATTGATTACAGTCCCCATAAACCATGCATTCAATTCAAACACTTTTTTAGCCAATAATTAATTTTTGATTTTAGGCAACTCAGATTGCAGAAAGCCACGTTAAACATGCTATTGATAGTCTGCTGTGTCTCTGCTTGAATTTAATTAAACCAAGATAATCAAATGCCCAACTTTTTTTTTTTTTTTTGTGGTACATAATGCCCAACTAATTGATGACCAAGATTTTTAGGTTTTCTTGAAATCCTTGGTCTATGCATTACAGGCACAACTCGCAAGTTCGCTTTCCCTGGCAGGAGCAATTATATCTTTTGACCGTAATTGTAAGGACCCATGTTTATACCTCTGCAAGCTGCAACTCATCTGAAAGAGCAAAGATCATGGCATGAGGATATTTTCAAGGGGCCGATGGTTATATTTTTGGTAGGGTTATCACTTACCTAGACTATTAAAATTTTATCTTAATTTAACTGTCAAAAATGTTTAATAAATTAAAATTAATTTATAAATAAATATTTCTAAATATTAGAATTAATTATTTGAAAAAATTGTAAATTAATAAAATTACAAATAAAATTGATATATAGCCATAAACTCTCTGCCTATTTACACCTTAGCTTGTATTTTTGCAAGGAGAGACATGATTTGAACTTAGATCTAATGGATTTAGATTTAAAAGAAGAATTTATTGTTTTGCAAAAGAGGCAATATTGGATCGAAAACAGCTTCCAATATCAAAATAATAATAATAATTCTCTTCTCTAATAATTTAAATTGTATTACTCTAACCTGCACAGCATTATTAAAAAGAAAATAATAAAAAAAAAGTGGCAAAACAAGTTTCAGACATGATTAATTTCAGACTACACTGTAGGAGATCCAAAAGTTTCAGAAATCTGAACATGCTTTGGTTTCATGTAAATACAAATTAGAGCTCCTGTAATGAGCCCTCCGGTTATCTCCATACGAGAAAAGCTTCCTTCCTCTCTAGCACCCTCCCAAGACAAACCACAACAACCTCAAGAAACTTAGATCCACAACTCTAAATAAAGAACACTTCATATACAACAGAAGTTACAATACAAATACATATAAATATATATAAATTGATAAAACTACAAACTGTATACAAGACATGGAGGAGCACTAGCTCCAGCTAGCAGCAGGTTTTTTCTTGTTTAGTGCAGGCTAGGGTAATTAAAAGCTCAGGAGGGATAGATAGAGATGAAGAAGATGGGAGGATTGATCAAGAGAAAATTAGAAAATAAAAATAAAAAATAAATAAAACATAACTAAAATTACTAAACAAGACTTGAAAAGCCTTGCAAGGTCAAGAAAAAATAAAAGAAAAAAAAAGAAGAAAAAGAGAGAAATTAAAGCTCAGTAAAGATAGCACCCTTAGAGTTCAAATGTTTTGTTCACTCCATATTTGATGTAAGGCAAGGCAGCCTTCTTTTCTGCAGACATCATCAAAAAGACGCAAAGGGGTTTTTAGTTCCTTTAAAAATATTGGCCTCTTCACCATCAGCAGAGACGACCAACAGCGTGAGGAAGAAAAGACAGGGAAGTAGGCACTTGAGAAGGCCATGTTTTGACACTAGGGTAAAGCTTTGAAGTGAGATAAGTATTAAATGCGAAAAAGAGATGATTCCTTGAAGCGATGGTGTGGGGTTTATATAGTGCAAAAAAAGGACAGGGAAATAAATGATAGACACAAAATTAAGTACGGAAATTCCAAAAATATGTTTAGTTTCCAGCAAAGAAAGCTGTAGGGACCTTTTACCCATGAATAAAATGGACCATGAAAGAAAGAACAGAAGAGGGGCTAGACCTTAAGGGTGGTCACCGACCTTCTGAGTGTGTAAACTCTGAGTCACCGACATTTAAAATGTAACATTTAGGTCGCTGACAAAAACTCATTTGAGTTAAAGATCTTAATTAATGAGCTTAATTCAATTATTAATTTATTAACTATCAATTTAACTTCATTTTAATTTAGAAAGTTTATTTTCTTTCTAAATTGTTTATAAATTTTGGAGAATATTTCAAAATAATCTATCATATAAAATTTTAGTTAAATTTAATAAAAAAGAGTAAACCTTTAAGTTTTTTAAAAAATGACACTATAATTTTAATAAAATATGATAATTCAAGAAATATTTTATAGATATAGATTAGTTAAAATTTGTAATAAACTTAAACAATTAACTTAATTCAAATAGAGAAACTTAATAAGTTTAGAGCGAGAAGTTTTAAGAGTAAGTTTATTTTTACAAGATAAATTATATGTAGTTTATCATGTAAAATTATTTAAATATCTTTGAAAAAATAATTTAAAATTAAAATTAAGAGCATTTAAATAATTTTACAGGACAAACTATATACAGTCCGTCATATAACATAATTTTTTGAAGAACACATTTAGCAAGATAAGAATTAAAACTATTTTTAGGTGAATATAACTTTAAGGATTAAAAAATCAAAAGAAATATAATTAGAGGACTACATATATTCTTATAAAATAAGAAATTTTCGTTAAACATAATGGGTTATATGAAATTGAAATAAATATAAAAAATAATAGATAAAATTGAAAAAATTAAAAAATAATAGATGAAATTAAAAATCATAGAAAAATAAATAATAAATGATTTGTTAAATTAAGCCTAATTAATGCTATCACTCTCCCTTGGAAGTTTAAAAGCATTAAAAAAAAGCATGATTATTTTGAATCAAAAGAAATGTATCATGAAAAAAGAGTATTGTATAATTTAAATTCAATTTAAATTATACAACCATAATTAGTGAATGGAAGTAAATTCTTTAATACTGAAGTTCTTTTCTTATCTAATAATCTCTATTTTACAATTTAATATTATTTATTCTATAAAACAAGAAATTCATGTATTATATTTCATATAATTTGTCAAGTTTAATTGTAATGATATTGCAAATTTTACTTCTAACCCATTTTAAATGGATTGGATGAACTTTTACTAGTAATTTAATTACCTATAGAACCCAAAAGTCCAATCCATTAGGCTTACAAGTTGGGTTGAAAACAAGATACCAATTAAGCTATTTTCAATGGAAAAGTTTGATAATTGTTAGATCAATTTCGCTATGTACATGTGTGTTGTAATTTAAATATTAAATTATAAAAAGGAACGTTCTTTGCACTCAAAATAAAAGAAAAAAAAATGCATCTATCGAGTATAGTTGGCTTCTTCTTTTTTTTTTTTTATTGTGAATGAATTCAAGAGATGAAAGACGTCCTTCAACAATATTTTACAGAAGAGGGGTAATAAAGAAAGTCTTTCTGATGATGAGTCTCACCCTTTCTCTTTTGAATTTTGAGTGAGGAGAGGGATTATCAACGGTTAAAACGGTGACTGATTTAAGAGAGGAAGTACAGGAATAGCAGGGGAGATCAGAGCAATGTGACTTAACCATCCCTCTGTTTTCACATCTCTTACCTTGTTAGTTACGTAATTTTGGAATAATAAGGAGGGGCCAGGGCTGCATCGCATGCATGGGGACTGGGGATTTTCACAAGTCTTCGAGAAAGCGAAAAGGGATTGGGGTCACTACAGTTCTACCATATGGGGTTGGCTCTTGGCAATGAATACATAGAAAAAGGAGAATGGAAACTTGCAGAATGCAGTACTCTTGCTGTGTCTTTTTCTCTCAGTTACCTCACTTGTACAAGCCTTTTTCTCTTCACCTTTCACATTTGACTTCCTTCCCCTTCATCGCCAACATTATAACCCTTTCTCTGGGATAGTTCAGATTGCAGAAGTATTATCATCTCATATCATTTTCTCAAATAGTAAATACATCTTGAATGCTCATTCAAGACAATTGATCGCGGTGGTCCATACTTCTAAATAATTTTTAATATTATTTAATATTATAAATTTATAATTATAACTGATAATTAAATAGATAAAAGAGTGTATCATATGCATGCATATAAACAAGACAGATGGGGAAACAAAAAAAAAAAAAACACTCGGAACGGAATGACTTATGAGCACACAAAATCCAATGACAGTGAAACAAGATCTTTTGATGCATT